ACCGGCGCCAGGGGCTGCATCCGTGTAGATTCATTTAATCCTCAAAGCCCGAAGAGAGACACGTTTGACAGATGGAGAAACTGCTCAGGGACACTCCTCCGGCGAATAATAGGAGGTGGCCCCACAGCCCTCTGCCTGGCCCTGCAGCCTGGATCAGGCCCTGAGTGTGCTACCTGCAAACATTCTCACCACAGCCCTGCAAGGGCCATGGCGCTGAGCTCACCGTTTTACAGGTGAGGAAGCCGTGGCTCAGCCTTCCCACTCTCCTCTACCTGAGCCTCAGATTCTAGCTCAGAGGCCCTGTGCGGAGAACCACAGCACAGGCGCAGGAGTGGGGGAGCCTGTCGGAGCTGTCTGCCTGGGGCATTAGCAGATGCAAGTTCCAAATGGGGAAAACTTAAAACGAGTTACAAACCTGTTATCAGTTTGACATTAATGTTTTTATAATTACACATTGTGATACTTACCTGAATGATAAAGCAGTTTCAATGTTGGCTAATGCCTCAGCTTGGATGTGGACATTTTTCTAACTTAAGATCCTGAACAACGGTCACCGATGAGGTCCTGAAGAATAAGTTTCGGAACGCTCTGTTCATAGCCATGGGGGTGTCTCTGCCACCTCTGCCCCAAAATGGACAATCTAGCTATCAGCATGATAACCTATCTCCTAGGATGGTAATTAACCCTAGAGAGGCAGCCCCCAACCTTTCTGGCACCAGGGACCAGTTTTGTGGAGGACAATTTTTCTAATGAACAGAGGAGAGGGTGGTTTCAGGATGAAGCTGCTCCCCCTCAGATCATCAGGCATTAGATTCTCATAAGGAGTGGGATACCGAGGTCCCTCGCATGTGCAGTTCACAGTCGGGGTCATGCTCCTGTGAGACTCTGAGGTGGTGGCTGACCTCACAGGAGGCAGAGCTCAGGCAGCTTGCTGGCCTGCCGCTCACCTCCTGCTATGCAGCCCAATTCCTAACAGGCCACGGACCTGTACCACTCTGTGGCCTGTGGATTGGAGACCCTGCTCTAGAGATCTCCTTGATTCCTCCCTGTTCATTTCAACACTGAATCAACTTTAACTGGAATGTTCATGGTAATTCATATGCATTCAAATACTTGGTTGCACTTAGGTAACTGTCTTAGTTTCCTATATTACCTCACTGCTCTAGCTTTGTCTTTTGTTCCATTCCACACATCATTTCTAGACTAGTCATCCAAAGTTAGTGTTAAAACATGAGTTTAGAGTCACATAGGCCGGCCATATCCTGACTCCGTCCTACACTGCCCATATTAGTTTCCTGTGGCTGCTGTAACAGATGACCACAGACTCAGTGTTCTCTCACAGTTGTGAAGGCCAGAAGCTCCACATCGGCTTCACTGGGCTGAAAGCAAGCTACGGCAGAGAGAATCCAGTCCTAGCCTCTCCCAGCTTCCAGTGCTGCCGGCATTGCTTGGCTTGTGGCCGCACCACACCAGTCCCTGCCCTGTCTTCACATTGCCTCCTGCTCCTCTGTGCGCTGTGTCCAAATCCCCCTCTGCTTCTATCTCATAAGGACACTGTGATTGAATGTAAGGCCCATCTGGGTAAGCCAGGATCCTCTCCCAGGACCCTTAACATAATCACATTTGCCAAGACCCTTTTCCTAACAAGGTACATTTACAGGTTCTGGGAGTTAGGACCTGACATCTTTCTGACCATAGGTCAACCTGTGTGACTGCAGGGAAATTATGTAATGGTCTATATTCAATTGTTTTGGCTGTCTAATGGGTCTCTATTTCAGAGGGTTGCCTAAGGCTCAGAGGAGACAGTTTACATAAAGTACTTAGTGCAATGCTTGGCAGGAAAAAAAAGCTTTTAATAAATAATAACTATTTGTTTTGTTTCTTTATGCCAAAAGTTCAGCATCTCTCTATTACTTTCCATCTTAATCCCTTAGTCTACTAGGTTGGTGCAAAAGTAATTCCAATTGCCAAAGTAATTACCATTAACAGTAATTACAAAAACTGCAATTACTTTTGCACCCACCTAATAGAAATCTCTATGTCCATCATCTGGTTCTAACAATTTTCCCAACCTCTCTTTTACTATTTTCCTTGTAGACCATCTAGTCTAACTAGATGTGTTTGCTAAGGAATCCCTCAATGGAGTGTTCTTGCTTCGCCCCTTTGTGTCTTTATTCTTTGTTGCTCTTGCCTGTGACAGTTGACCCCTTCCTCTTTGTCCAAATACTGTTCTTTGCCAGGACTGGCCCCATTCTCATCCTCTCTTTGAAGCTTCCCCAATCAACCCAACCCAGGCTGGTCTCTCCCCTTGAGGACGATCAATGCTGCCCTCCACGAAGCCTCCTTGCTCTTACCATGGTGGCTCCATACACTTAAACTCAGCTGCATATAGACACATGCTATGTATGAAGCACGCAGCAATGATGGATAAACCATTGCAACAGGGAACCCAAGGAGTCAGATCTGGGCTCAGAGACTAGATTAACATCTTATATCCCTAGGCCAGAAATGGAATAGAAATACTAGGCAGTAAGGAGGCCTGAAGCCACAGGCCTCCTGAGATCCCAGTTGAAAAGCAGGCCATGGTGGGCGAGAGCCTGGCCTCTATGGGGTATGGAGGATGAGAGTCTCCCTGTGGGGTGTAGTACCAGGCCAGGCCTGCTGTTCAGAGGCAGAGGCTAGAGTGGAGTCTTTCACTAAAAGTGAAAAATATAAATAAAAATCTGCCACCAGTGCTGTCTGCTGCTGGACTGGGGCTCTAGGAGTGGTGTGCAGACAGCCACAAAACTACTAGATAGGAAAGACAGGGCAACGATTTAGAAGGGGTGAGAGAAATAGGGAAGAGCCCTCTTCCTTTTAAAATAAGTCTGCAAATAAAATGTTTCACAACCCATGAAGAAATTCCATGCTAAAAAAGGCAGCGCACAAAATAAAAATTTAGAACACGTAATCATTCCGAATTAAAATAAATTTCTATAACAGTATGAGAGGTCCCAAAATAAGCGTATGCTAGGTGTCCAAAGAAATAAACAAGGTAAATTCATAAAAGTAAAAATAAATTATTTTTTGAAATGATAGAAATCCTGAAACAAGAACAGATGAATGCGAAGAAGAACACATTATGAATTTGTTCTTCCTCCCTAGGAAGCTGCCTAGGGAGGATGAAGGTTAACGACAAGATGGGAGAGATGAGTGAGTTGGAAGCTGCTCTGTGAATTGGAAGTGTATCTCCAATGGAGAAAGACCAAATGTGTAAACTCTATCCTAAACACGGTGTGATAAAACCACAAAACCTTAATGAGAACAAGAAAATACTTAAGGCAGCAAAAAGGGCAGACACCACAAAGACCCACCGGATCGTCAGTGGGATTATCAGCAGTCCGAGACACAAGACAGTGGGTTGATATCTCGAGTGCTGAGAAAAAATAAAACCACCACCTGGAATTTTACACACAGTTAAGATACCACCCAAGAGGGAAGGTAAAATAAAGACAACTTCAGACATACAAAGATTAAAAGAGTTTGCCAGCTCTGCTTAACTCTGAGTCAAATTATGGCCCGAATGAGTACATTAGCAAGAAGAATAAACCCGCAGCCAAGAGTGAGATACCAGAAGTAATGGCAAGTCCTAAAATGGATAAAATGTCAGTAAGATTTATGAACTATGGGATTTTTGTAATGCTTTTTTTTTTAAAAGCCAAACAAACACTCCAGACAACAATGGCAGGATGTCGGAGGGGTTTTCAGTTGTCAGCCAAAGCTTTGTTTTATCTGAGAGAAAGATAAGAATATTTAATCACTTAGGAATTTCCATACCTAAAACCATGCTAAAAGATTCAAAGAAAAACAAATGAAAAATCTATATTAAGCTAAAGAAACATATGAAGTAATAGTAAGATCAGATTAAAAAAAGCATTAATGGAGAAAGGAAGGGCATCATACGGTAAGAAACAGCAAAATCCACCAAAATGACATAAAAATCATGATCCTGTATTATCCTAATAATACAGCAGAAATATATAAAGTAAAAGCTAACAGAATTATAAGAAAATTGGACAGATCCACAAAGTAAAGGATCAAATAAAAAAATATTGAGGCTGTGGATGATCTTTTAGTAAGAAAATTAACAGGTGAGTTTTGACATATAGAGGAGAACTCTGCACCCAACGGTGATACTCCTAGAACATTTACAGAACTGACCATGAAGAAGATCAAAATTTTAACAAATTTAAATAATAATAATTTATATTATCCAAGTGATATTCTCTAGCAACTAAAAAGATAATGTTTGAAATGAATTTATAATTCATGAACTAAAGCACTAGATTGAAAATAAATGTAGACCATTCAGTTTAAGAATGAGATCGTGAACAATAAGATAAATGCAGCAAAAATAGAAATAATCAAAAGAGCAAACACTCATGAAATGGATGTCAAGGAAACAGTAAAGAGGATCTGCAAAACCAAAAGCAGTTCTTTGAAACAGCAAATAAAATACACACATTTCACCAAGACTGAGTACAAGGAAAAAGTCACAAACAGTAATTCATTCATGAATCAATGCAAATGAATTTGGAATTTAGTTTAAAGAAGTAATTTACTAGAAACAAATTACCAAAAAATAGAAATTCTAAATAAACCAATAAACATTAAAGAAAATGAATACATAATCAAAAGCTTCCTCCCGCAGAAAGAAGCAACATACCCAGTTCCTTTTATAATCAGTTTTTCTAAGTATTTAAATATTATTTCTTTCTCTCAAACTATCCCAAAGAACTGAAAAAGAAGAATCGAAGAAGAAGGTAGGATAACTTATGAAAAAGAAGCAAAATATATTAACATAATTACAAAAATCCTAAGTAACATGTCGTCATATTTTAAAAATTCTAATAGATCAGGAGGAAGTAGGACTGTCCTTGGGATGGATGTCGTCATTGAGTTCCTAGGGCCCTGCTGGGGTGGTTTGCAAAGGGCACTGCACCCTGTAATGTTATCTCCATTAAAACATAACCCCAATTTCATGACGAAAAACTCATCAGACAAACCCAAACTGAAGAAATTCTGCAAAATACCTGGCCAATATTTCTCAAAACTCCAAAGATCATGAAAAATAACTAAATGCAGGGCTGTATCCTGATGGAATCCTGAAACAGAAAGAGGAGAGTGATAGAAAGACTGGCAAAATCCAAACAATATCTGAAGCTTAGTTAAAAGGAATATGGGAAATGTTAACGTTGATGTCTTAGTTTTGACAAATAGAAGATTAATACAGGATATTAACATCGGAGAAACTAGGTGAAGATGCAGACAGGTCTCTGTACTGTCTTCGCAACTCTTAGTATTAGCAAATCTAATACTATTTAACAATACAAAGGTGATTAAAAGAAATCTCAACACTCACTCATGATGGAAACTCCTGGCAAACCACGAAGAGAAAGGTGTCTCAACTTGATGACGGTGTCCATCATGACTTCGTGGTTTCCAAACCACGAGGTTTTATTCACACGTTGTGGTGAGGACTAAATGAAGTGATATGTTTGCAGTGGCTTATGAATTAATACTATTATGCCTGTGATCCCAGCAACAACATCAGACGTCTGCATGCGCAGAGTTCTTGGCCTTGTTTGTGCCGTGTGGCACTTGGACAGCCCGGGAAGGTCTTCAGACCCCTTCTCAGGATGTCTGCCAATGTTTAACATAAAATTCATATGGTTACTATGTGTGTGCATATATAGTTGTTAAATCACAATTATGCTTTTTTTGATATTGAACTCAACTTCCATTCTAAGGCTAGCCCTATGTGGTCGTGATGTGTGGTTGAAGAATCAGCAGGCCTGGGTGATCTGAGCAGGGAGGTGAGGCAGAGAGAAGAATCCACATCCCATGCCAGGGCTGGGCCTCCTGGGTGGGTGGGAAACTCAGGGCAAAGAGATCCTGAGAGGGGATGGGGAGGAAAGACCAAGAGGTCGATGTGGGACCTTGTTGAGTTTGAGTTGAATGATGTTTCCAACTGGATGTTTTTCATAATTGCATATCTTTTTTGAAAAGTAGTTTTTAGGCCAGGCGTGGTGGCTCACACCTATAATCCCAGCACTTTGGGAGGCCGAGGTGGGCCTTGAGGTCAGGAGTTTGAGACCAGCCTGGCCAACATGTTGAAACCTTATATCTACTAAAAATACAAAAATTAGCCAGGTGCAGTGGTGCATGCCTGTAATCCCAGCTACACGGGAGGCTGGGGCAGGAGAATAGCTTAAACCTGGGAGGTGGAGGTTGCAGTGAGCTGAGATCACACCACTAAACTCCATCCTGGGCGACAGAGCAAGAGTCTGTCTCAGTGGCTCACGCCTGTAATCCCAGCACTTTGGGAGGCCCAGGTGGGGTGGATCACAAGGTCAAGAGATTAGGACCATCCTGGCCAACATGGTGAAACCCTGTCTTTACTAAAAATACAAAAATTAGCTGGGTGTGGTGGTGCATGCCTATAGTCCCAGCTACTTGGGAGGCTGAGGCAGGAGAATTGCTTGAACCCGGCAGGTGGAGATTGATTGCAGTGAGCCAAGATCGCACCACTGCACTCCAGCCTGGCAGCAGGGTGAGACTCCGTCTCAAAAAAAAAGAGTAAATACAAATATAAGCATTTTTCTCTCTGCATCCCTTTGGTCTAGTGAGCTCCAGGCAGTAACATCAGGTACAGATGTAAAGTTTGAAAAAAACAGAGGAGTTCCATCTGCAAAGGATCACTTTCATAATGAAAGACTGGAGCAGGTGCAGAGACTGGGGACCCCTCCCACCCTCTTTTCCCCATCCCCTCTGAGCCCTACTGATGTTGAAAGGTAGCTGATGCCTCGTCTTTCAGCTCTGAGCTTTACTGCTGTTGATTCCACATCTCAGTAAATTCTGGCCTGGAGACCACTGGTCCCACCCAACCTCCCATGAGAGACAATTTGTGAAAAGAACCCAGAATCTGGAGTCTGAAGGCTGTGGTTTGATTCTGGTCTCTATCTCTTTCCAGCTAAATCTTACATCTTAGACAAATCATTTGACCACCCCAAGCCTCGGTTTTCTCATTCATAAACTAGAGGTTGTATATTTCTTTTCACAGTGTAATGAGGATTTAATGAGACAACGTAAATCAAAGTGATTTGTGAGCTATGATGCCAGGAACTACACCAGAATTTGTTGTTACTTTTTGTATAATCAACCCGAGTCATGCAGTGTATTTTCCTGTCTACATCAACTATAAACACAACGTGTCACACTCCACCAGTCCAGAAGTGGCAGTTTTTCTGCAGTCATTAGGTTACTTTTCCTATCCACAGCACTTGTTTTCCTAATCTGTGCAGAGCACTGGTTTTCAAGCCAGGATGATTTTCCCTCTCGTGAGGGTGGGGACACAGCACTGACTTCCAGTGGGTAAGGGTCGGGCACGCTACTAAACATCCCACACTGCACGGTCAGCCCCACCACAGAGAACACAAAACCTCAGTACCTGGAGTGGTTAATCCATCCTGTGAACCGACTGGGATGCCAGTCATGGAAGTTTTGATTGTTGATCTTTACTCCTTCAGTTGAATCCCATTTTCTGTGAGAGGTCACTTACCTCCATTAGCAAAAGTCCCTGGCCTGGCCTTGGATGTGTCTGGGGGGCACTAACACCTACTGGAGATGGGAGAGGAGAAGGAGACCTGCAGGGTAAGATGAGAGGCAGTGCATGAGAGAGAGCTGCCAGCTCTGCCTTCACTTACAAATGTAACCTTTCTAACATGTATTAAGTCACTGGTGGTAAAAACCTTAAAATTGTTGAATTTCAGTTTCATGTGAGTTAACAGTCACAGTTCACTGCCTTCCCTTCTTCTGCTGCTGTTTTCTCCCTTATGTTCAGTTCTTCTGACTCTTTTGAGCTCCAAAAAGCCATATGTACCCATGATCATCACTCTCCCGCTCTCCCTCTTCTTTCTTTCTTTCTTTTTTTTTTTTTCAGATAGAGTTTCACTCTTGTTGCCCAGGCTGGAGTGCAGTGGCTCAGTCTCTGCTCACTACACTCTCCACCTCCCAGGCTCAAGTGATTCTTCTGCCTCAGCCTCTCGTGTAGCTGGGATTACAGGCATCCTGTATTTTTAGGATAATTGTTTGTATTTTTAGTAGAGACCGGGGTTTCAACATGCTGGCCAGGCTGGCCTCGAACTCCTGACCTGAGGTGATCCACCCACCTCAGCCTCCCAAAGTGCTGGGATTACAGGTGTGAGCCACCGCGCCTGGCCTTGTCTTCTTTCTTTTACATATCTTTGTGCATGACACATGTTGACAAGGAGATGCCGTTGGTAGCCTTGTGTCCATTTCTGGAATTCCAAGATTTGGCTTTCACCACCTCTTCCTGACCACAGCAAGCAGTTACCAAGGGCAATGGAGATATTTTCATTCCTACCCTTGGTTACTTACCCTGATGCCTTCTGATGATTTTCAAAATCAGAGGTCGAGCTGATCATCTGAATTGTGAATTATTCAGTCTAATGGCACAGAAATTAATAAGACAAAGTCGTGAAACTCCCATCTGTCTCCAAGCTATCTACTTGTGGATGTTTATGAAGCTAAGAAACTTGCCATATGTGTAGCATATTGTCTGAAGGAAAAGAAATGCTCTACTTTTTAGAAAATCCTGACATTGTATGTTGTGTTTTTGTTCCAATTAGATGGCCTTCTCTTCTTGTCACAGGTAAATAAAACGGCTTCATCCTATTCATCTTTCTCTGTTAGCTTTTCATAGCACTGATATGAATGGTGTCTGTTTACATGGGGTGTTCAACCTCATTCCACAAAGGATCTATCAACATCTTTTAAGTTCAAGCTGTTCTTGTATTTTCCCTCACAAGCTAACATGTTTTTAAATGTCTTTTCAGAAATGATAAACTTGAATTTTTCTTATGGTGGCTTTTGTCCAAACATCTCTAATTGTTTTGGAGATAGAGTCCTATTCATTTTCACAATATTCCTCTAAAAACGTAGGCAATATTATGCCACTTTGCGCAAGGTCAAACCGTAGCATATGGGAGTTTATTAACTCTCTTTTTGCCATGCATCTACATTCTTAATCCTTTTCTATTCTGTTAGCCCATGGATGCTATTGCTTCTCTTCCAATTCTCCCTTGTGGTTAGCTGAATACTCCTCATGAAGTTTATCATCCTCAACTCCCATGGTAGTTACTTAAGGATGTCTTACCCTCCCTCATTAGCCTGCAGGTTCAGTGTCCTTCTCTGACTGGTTTAGGACCACATACTGAACTCAGCTCATGTGATCTACACAACTCAATGCATAGAATTACAAGAATGTCTAAGATCCAAATGAAAAGAGAGAATATGAGCTTTACAAATGGATGTACCATTGAACATATCATAGAAACACATGTATTTATTTCTTGAATATAGAAAAATGATAATGTAGCATTTTTCATAGGATGATAGTAACATATTTGTTTTCAATGTGCTTTTCTTATTTGTTTAATCCTCATGAGATCTGACTATATAAGCAGGGCTGCCGTACCACCTTAAAGATGAATGAACTGAGACTCAGAGGCTAGGTTGCCATCCTAGTGTCTCCAGTCTTGCAAGGAATAGAGGATTTCCTAACAAATTCCAGTGATCACATGGCAGTTCTTTCTGTTCTGACTGTAACATTTTCTCTGAAGCTCAACTCACCAATCTTGCCTTCATGTTCACCTCCCTCGTATCTCACTTTCCTAAAACCCACCTTTTATCACATTTCTTCCCCCAAATCACCAGTAGTTAGCAAGTGTTCCTCAGAAGGAAACAAAAGTAGCATGCCACTTACAGCCTGACATTATATGTGCGTTTTGTACTCCTAGGCCTTCCTTTCACACAGCCTTTCCTTCCGAGCACACTGGGCTGTTTGCTGTCCCAGCCCCAGGGAAGCCGTTACCTGCCTAGCAATGCCCCTCTAGTACCTCTCTTTACCAAACAGAATAGAAACATTCTCACAGACTCATTCGCTGCCTGCTTCGTCAGCATTTGATGCACCTTTCCATCCCCCGTGCTGCCTTATGCAGTTCTTCCACACAGTAGACAACTGGTTAACACTCATTACCTGCTTGATACCACTGAAAATATGAAATTAGGCAGAAAACTCACTCTTGGGACAAGACAGTGTCTACTGTAATCCGCCTGCAGACATGTTAGAAATCTGTACTAAGTCACAGATGCTTATAGTTTGGGGAGTTTTATTCTTACCAGATTTTTCTTTAATGCTGCAAATTGACAGCCTGAGTGTTTTAAGTGTCCGTGGCCATTAGAGGCAGTCTTTTGAGAGGACTTTTCACGTCAGTCATCTCTGTGCCCTTCCACTGGACTGAAAACAGTTTCTGGTCTGTTGTATGCACAGTTGGAATATTTTTTACATTGAATAATTCATTTTAACTTGATATACAAAGGGACTGATCCAGTGCACACTTTCATTCAAAGGCTGGATCCTGGAGCCTGGTATAATGTGTGTAGGCCACATCAGGCCATCCCAGGCTGGTTCACATGTCACACAGGAAACATTCTAGCCAGAAAGCTGCATCCAAGCCCAACACCCTTCTCTGAGAACACACTGCTTTTTGAGAGAACAGGGCAATGGCACCCGAAAACCCACACGCTCCTCTTCAGATTCAAATGGTAGCATACCCAGTATCCCACTGCAGGGTGACAGTGCAACTGAACTTGGCCCCGGTGACCAGCTCCTCTCTGCACATAGCTAGCTCCTCTCCAGCTCCTTCCCAACTGGTTTCAACTTTGCCTGTGATTTCTGCGTGAGCTGGAACATGCGAGAACATACAACGCACAGTCCCCAGGCAGCTGCTAACCCTGGAAATACCTGCCTCTCTCCTGGACGAGCTTTGTCTGTGCAATTGCATGAGAGATTCCAGTGCCTCTGGTCACTTAAGGTTGGCACCAACCCATAACTGGCGGCCGCACAACAGACGGGTGATCGGTGCTCAGTATTCTTGTGAGCATGAGTTTTTGTGTAAGGTTTTGTGAAAAATCTATGGCAGAGGAGAAAAAAAATGTCCCTGACGTCTACTGAAAACGGCCAGGCGCTGCTGGAGGGAACTGCGTCCCTGTCGACTGGCTGCGTTAGGAGGAAACGGTGTGCAGCCTCTGCCGGGCCCTGGCTGGCTTCCTTCCCCTTCCTTGAGGCTCCTGCCCCGGTTCTGCCGCCTCCCACAGACTGAGCCCTCGCTGTCACCTCCCCTTCTGCACAGTCCAGGCCCGTCGGGGTCCCCACGCCCCCTCCTGCTGCAGAGCTTCCCCTCCCCAGGCCGCGGCCTCCAGAGGCCTCTCTGCTCCCCCTTCCATCCTCCCTCCAGCGCACTAGCCCAGGTCCCTCTTTGCTCAGGTCTCCACCGGGAGGATTTAAAAAGTGAAAAGCCGAAGCCAGCTCTGTGTGTGCCTCGCCCTCCTTCCCTGCACACCCTGGAGAACACCCCAGTCCTTCTGGTGAAACCCCAGTCTCCTTGCTTCCCGTGGGCTTTTCTATCCACCGCGATCTGAAATTTCTCCGGCAAAGCAGCTGCGTCTCCAGACTCCTGGGCTCTTTCCTTTCCGACTCCCTGACCCCCGCGAGCCTCCCTGCACCCCCTTCTCCTCTCCACAGGGCTGCCGGGTTGCCCACGCAGCCCCTGCCCTCTGGGCACCCCCGTCCTCACTCCAGACCTGCATCACCAGCCCAGCACCTGTGAGCTCCAGCAGCTGTCACCCTGCCCACCCCTACCCAGGGCCAGCCTAGAACCCCTGCCTGCAGATTGAATCCACCCAGCAGCACAGACCCTCATCCCCACCCGGCGTTTCCCACCTGGGCCCTGGTGCTCCCGCTGGCTTCCCAGGAAACTCATCTCATTTCCATTTCTCTAGGAAACTCAGGGATGCCTGGGACGCTCCCGCCCCAGGACTCCCCACTCTCGGTGGATGTAAAGCTCCGCGTTTTTAATGTTCCCCGCACCACCGTCTTGCTGTGCGTCAGCTCAATCCTCTGTCAGTGCTTTTCTCGAGGGCATTCCTGTGGCTTGTCCTCACCCTGCCCCTCTCCCCGCACGCGGTGATGTTCTTCCTGACCCCGGAGTGGCCTCTGCCTTGCAAGCTGTTGGGTCCGCCACCGCCCAGGCACACCGCGGGTTTCTCAACCTGTGCCTCAGTTTGACCATGTACGCAAAGGGGTGGTGATCACACCTAGCTAACATTAACCTTGTGAGAATGAAGTGAGTTAGCATAAATCATGCTCCAGCGGCGTCCCTGAGCTAGACAGGCGCTAGGTAGGAGTTCGTGCAGTCCTCACCCACCGTCAGATTCCAGCAGGACACACCAGGAGGGCCACTGGCTGGCTCTCATCCTCCTCTACAGGTTTCTGCCCCTCTGGGACCTCACCTTCCTGCTCCTGCGCCTGTGCTTACACTGGACTGCTCCTTGTCCCTTGACCCTGGGGACGCCTCCATGCCCCTGTTTCTCTTGTCCTTCTCTTCTCTGCCAGGAACATTTCCCTCCCATCTCCCAGCCATGGGACTTCAAAGTCAATTCAATATCACCTTCTTCAGGAAGCCGTCCAGGCTCAGGGTCCCCGCCTCTCACCCTCTAAGAACAGGAAAACCCATGGAATTATTTGCTCCCTCTGTGTTCCTGCCAGCACCGGAGTCAGGATTTCAGCCCAGCACGTGTCACAATGCATTGGCGGTTAGCCGCTTGGTGGTGACTTCTTTCTGGATCCCTCTGTCTTGACGGTCTCTAGACTACTGAAAGGTGAGCAGAGGTGGGCAAGAAATACTGGCTCAATTAAAATTCTTGAAATTATAAATTTTGGAAATCATGACCAAGGGTAATGTTTTCTGTGCTGCGTTTTGTCTATATCCTTATCGGTTTGGGGTGTTTGCTCTGCCCTGGAACTTCAAAAACCAGTTTCTGACCTTCTTTTAAAAGTAAATCTCTTACTTAAGATTTAAATATATCAAATTTTTTTATTTCTGATGAGGAATAATAAGAAAATAATATAAGGATTTTTAAAACTTTTACATCTCAAAAAAGACATGAAAAGCGAAAAATGCCCAATTTGCTTTAACATGACTGCAATTTGATAAATATTTTGGACTTCTATTTGCAAAAGAATGTAAATGATCTTTATTGTAAAGACTTACTTGATACAGCTGAAATATCACCATTGTACTCCACTAAAATGAAACGTTTGTTGGACTGGGTCTTGTTTTTCTTGATTGTTGTTGTTGTTTTAATTCCTTGCTCTTTAGACTGCTGTTTAAAATCTTATGTTTTTTAATGTGTTACCAAGGAGAAACTGTGAGAGCAAATTCCATAGTGTAGAATGGAATTCCTCCCCCTGCCCTCCCCAGCCACACACACTTAACGATGTCTGCATATGTTCTCATCCTCATCGGCAGACTTTTGTTCCCTGCCCGAGAAAGACAGCCTCCCACTGAACAAACAAGGCCTCCGAAGGATGCTTTTCTTCCATGTTCCTACAAATTAGCGTGAATCCGTGCTATGTTGTGTAGAACTTCAGAGAGACATTTTATTATTTGTCCTTGATAGGAAAATGGTTTGCTGATTCCAGATACGATTACCTCACCTTTCTTTAAATGAGCTTCAGTAAGCATAACGTCCCATAAACATCTTTACTTTTAAAATCATGAATAAAAGTTAAGTTTACTGACTAAAACATATCCTTTGGTCCAAGGAATATTATTTATATAACCTTAATTTTTTAACAGAACTTAAATATTATCAAAGCTGTATTTCTAGAATGAAGTATGAAATGAATCAATGTATTAGAAATTTGCACATGTTACATAACAATCACTTCCTAACAAATGCTTAGCAGGTCCTATTTATACATTTGAGCCCTTGGTTTCTACCCCGAATATGTCTTCTTAAATCCACTGTTTTTCTTTGCTCTTTAATTTCAGTTTGTTTGGTTTAATGATAGCTACTGAACATAAATGCCAAATTACAATGGCACTTCCCAGCTGTGTGCAGAACTGTATATTTTAAGTACCAATTTGTGATGAAAGAATGCTTCCAGCTCAATTCTCATCAGCATTAGAGGCTTTAGCAATTGCCAATTATTTTTCTAAATTACCTATTTTAATTAAGTAAAATATTGTGAATTTAAGATTATGAAGTATTCAAGCATTATTTCATCTTTAACTAATTAGTGAGAAAAAGGGAATTATATTTTGGGACATTAAGTGGCTATTTTTAGAATAAAATGCTTCTATGGTTTCAATGCTTTAAATTAAGAGAAAATGCACAAACTTCTCTTGAAATCCTGTTACATTTGGGGTCTTTGCTGGAGCACACCTTGAACTGATTATTTGTTCTAATATAACATAAATTTGTATATTAATTGGAGCCAAAATGCCCAGGAGGTTGAGGCTGATATCTCCCTTGACCATTTTAACACATGTAGATCCCTCAGCTACATTTTAAAACCACCTGTTTCTATTTTACCCTCATAGAACAAAGCCTAGAACTTAGGAAGGACCCCAAGTTATATCCATAGATCTGACCATCATCCTTAGTTCAGTTCTGAGATTTCCATTCCTAACTTATCGCTGGATCCCACATTCTATTTCTTACAAGGGCATTTCAAGAGATATGTACAGACGAAGGAAAATTGGCACCCAAATCTGCCTGCCTGGCAGCTGGCAGCAATATTGGAAGGCATCAAAAGGCATTATTAACTGACATTGGCAAGGTGATTTTGTGAAACCTTCCTTTTGTATGTCAGCGCAGGCTACGACTGTCCCTAAACTGTTGCTTCAATGCAGACAGCACAAACTCTTTCTGTAACAGTGGGTCTCCCAGCTTCTTCCTCCTGAACTCCGCCCATTAACGGCAGTGAGCTCGGGAGGGGAAAAGGGTTAGTCAACAATTCTGCTTGGCTGCTTCAGGGGAGAGCCAGTGTTCTGCAGACTAGCGAGCTAATTAGGCACTCTCGATGAGGTCATTAAAGGACAATAAAGGAAAATGGAAACAATTCACAATATGTGCAGACAAATTTCTATATCGAATAATTTTTGTTTGTATTTAAATGTTGGGTAGAAACTTTCTATCCTGAGTAATGGTTGCTTCAAAAAAAAAAAAATTCAGATTGAAACTTATCCTTTAAGCACAAAAGTATAGTCGGAAATATTTAGTCGTCGTGACTACCACAGATGATACCGATAGTTCCGAATCGCCAATCTGATGGATAAACTCTGCTCTCGCCAGGGTGTGGTGACCTGCGAGGGAAGGGGCCAGCACTCCTGGATTCCCCTGCACATTTTCAGTGCTCTTGTTTCGTTCATCCACCTCATTCTGGAAATGCAACTGGGAGATTTCTATTTCAGATGTGTGTTTATTAAAATGCTACTTTCAGAAGTGCTTTCCAATTTACTCAACAGGCAATATGAGGTCATATTTGAAAATACAAAATGTGGTGACTTTTGGCATTGATTCCTGTGTAGTCGTGTGAATTCTTGGAGTTTCTAAAAGGGTATTTTTTTTTTAACATCAGTTTACATCCCATTTCACTTGACAATTTGAAGTATCCAAAATGAAACAAGCGCATTGGATGGACGACTCAATTGAATGCAACGCAAGTCAATAAAGATAAATGCAAAGTAGTGTCTTGAAGAGATAATCCCATAAACACAAACGATGAAAGAACCGATTAAACTTAGTGTGGGAAAAAGATGAAGAGGTTTTGACAAGTGAAAACTGAGTGCAACTGAAAGAATAATCAACTCTTTTGTGACATGTCAATACTATCACTATTGAGTGTAAGATGCACGAGTCTTTCTCCCTTGGAACCACCAGCTCCTGCTGCAGTAAGGGCGAACAACATGGAAAGAAGGAAACAGTGATTACCAGCAGTGGTCAGAAACCGAAACCTGCGAAGCCCTGAGAGGAAGAGCAGCTGTGATTTTGCACCAGCGGTCCTATGTCTCTGGGGAAGGGGAGCATTTCAGAGTCTGTGGAAAGACATCTCCTCTTCCCAGGAGGGATGTCCCAGCCTCAGAACTGGGAGCCTCCTGGCATCAGGATGACCAGAATGGGGGTGCCCTTAACAGCTAGCCCTGGTACAGCCCCCTCCGTGGAACTGGACGTGCCCCAGGGTTGCTCAGCCAAACAGAAAGATCAAGAGGCAACATGATAGTTGCCTATGATGTGGCTATAAAGGGCTTTTGTGGGCACTGTGTGGTCCTTCATTTGCCAGTGCCACCGCAGGAATGACGAGGAAAGTGGCCAGCAGTCGAGATATTTAGGTTAGACATTAGATAAGAGGCTGTCTTGGCAGCTCCAGGAGACACTCTGACAGTTCATCTTAAAGGTCACAGACCCTTCCTCCCTGCAGCATAGACTCCTAAGTGAGGTGGCTTTCCAGAGGAATCCTGGCATCTCCAGTATTGAGACAGACAAAAGGATTGGAAAGCTACAGCGGAGAAAGGAATTAAATAAGCCACACTGACTTCCAGAAATCACTCCGCTCCGCATCTAGATGTTGCTCTTGCTCATACACTGTGTAGACCTGCCAGATTTCACAAATAAAAATACAGGATACCCAGTTAATCTGAATTTCAGATGAACAAGAAATAATTTTTAATACAAGTATGAAATACTTAAGACATGCTTATGCTAAAAACATTTTTGATATTTATGTGAAATGTAAAGTTAACTGAGCATCTGTGTTTGATCAGGCAACTACAGCAAGAACCACACGCCTCATGCACACACGGTCCGTGTCCTCTGGCCACCTGCATGTGACATTCTGGAACTGTCACATCAACAAAACAAGCCCAAAGCTCTTATCTCTGAAGCACTGGAAGTTAAGTTACTACTTTAGAGGAGATGAGCACTTTTTAAACATTTAATGTGGAAGAAAACATGGAATACATATATATAATAACTTACAACACAAAATGACTTGTCCTTGGCCTCCAAAGCCTTCACACCTAGATTACAGAATTAATTTTTCACTGGTTCTTCCTACTTTCCACTTTGCCCCCATACCTCCTCCTACACAAAACTGTCAAATCAAGTGGTACAAAGGCTGCTTTCCTAAAGTGACTTCCCCTTTGGGCATCCGGTGAATGCCAAACAGGCATGAAAGACCCTTCCCGAGCCCCCCTTCCAAAGATGCTTCTGCTTCCTCTGCCCTTGAACCGTACCCTGAGCTAGGAAGTATAGATGAACCGCGTGAAGAGAAGCCTCACCCCTTCATGAAGCAGGGAGGGTCATTCCAACTCGAGGGGTCAGGGAACACTTCCGGAGGGGGATGGCGTTTGGGCTGCACTTTGAAGAATGAGTAAAATTTAGATATGGGAAGCTGGGGAGAGAAAGGCCTGGCCGGCCTAGGGCAGAGGCCCTGGATTGGGGCATGTCTTGTGTATTCTGAGAGCGAGGGGCCCTATTGGCTGATGGTGAGAGGATGTCCAGATTCAACGAGATACCTTTTTGTCATCTATAGAAACCTTTTTGAGTACCATGTCATCATTCAGGCCATGCAACAGAAAAAGTTATCTGCAACTATTTTAAGTATCAGAAACTAAGAAGTTCATTTGAAATATCTCTGATCTGTGCCTTTAAAAATTCATTTTCAGTATCACTATAAATCCGTTCACCTGACTCTAAATCCCATGCCCATTTCAGAAGCCCCAGCTGCGTGTCTATTCCGTCCCAGCTCCGCTCCAACTGAAGATGTGATTCCAGCGGCTGACCTACCTTTGTGCCCACACACGTCCTCTTGCTTTACTCGCCAGCCTTCTCCAGCTGCCTCTCGATCTTGGCACACACTGTGCTGTACAGGGGCCTTTTTATATGCTCCTCCCTTTGTCTGGAATGGCCTTTCCCCTCTTTTCTCCAAGTTCATCCTTCAGGATTTAGCTAAGTATTGTCTCCTTTAAGAATTCTTCCCTGGCCGGGCACGGTGGCTCACACCTGTAATCCCAGCACTTTGGGAGGCCGAGGCGGGCAGATCACGAGGTCAAGAGATCGAGACCATCCTGGCCAACATGGTGAAAACCAGTCTCTACTAAAAAAAATACAAAAATTAGCTGGTTGTGGTGGCATGTCCCTGTAATCCCAGCTACTCGGAAGGCTGAGGCAGGAGAATTGCTTGAATCCAGGAGGCAGAGATTGCAGTGAGCCGAGATTGCACCACTGCACTCCAGCCTGGTGCCTGGCAACAGAGCAAGACTCTTTCTCAAAAAAAGAAAAAAGAACTCTTCCCTGAGCCCCGAGACAGGCCGAGGGGCCCTTCACAGCACTCTTCTGTGGAAGCCCTCACCACTTCCACAGGAGAAAAGCCACAGTCTGGAAGGCTGCCTTTGGAATGTTTCTCCCATCTGACCCTGAGCTGCCTGCTGTGGTCTCCCCTCAGGCCCTTGGCTCCTGCAGCCTCTTCTCCATCAGGGCTGTCAGCCTGGCTCTGGGCATCCGCTGCCACCTTTAAACTCATGACTCCGAAATTTCAGTTTGCCTGAGCCACAGACCTAGATATTGAATTATCTGTTCCTCAAAGCCTCAAGGTCATTCTCAACTTAAAATGTTTAAAGCTAAACTCTCACCTTCCCCAAGTCTGCTGCTAGTCCTACATCGCTTGTCCTTCCCCAGGCACCTTTCTTCTGAACCAGCACCCCAGCCAGGTGCACAAGTCCTATCTGATGGTGCCCTGTGACTTCCTCCCTTTCCACTGCTGCTGACTGGGTTCCCACTGAGGAGCTCTCTCCTTCTGGGAGCTATGCTCCCTCCCACGTTGGTCCTCCCCGAGCCATTTGGACTAGTTTTCTGCTGCCAAAACAAATTTATGGAGTTGGGGGCCTGAAACAGCACAAACGTATTATCTTACAGCTCAGGAATGCAGAAGTCCACACAGGTCTTACAGGGCTAAAATCCAGGTATCTACAGAACCGTGTCTCCTCCTGGGGCTCTGCAGGAAAGCCTGCTTCCTGGACTTGCCCAGCTTTCACTCCTTGACTCATGGGCCCCTTCAAAGCCAACTTCTTCAAAGCCAGCAATGTCAAATCTCCTTGACCTTTTTCCTCTGTCATCTTGCTGTCCTCTTGTGCTTCCCTTTGCCACTTTATGGACCATCGTGATTACATTAGATCCACCCAGATTATCCAAAAGGATCTCCCTATCCCAAGGTCCTTAATGTGAGTGTGTCTGCAAAGTCCCTTTTGTCATGTAATGCCACATAGTCAAGAGTTCTAGGAATTAGATTACGGCCGTCTTGGTGGTGGTGGGCAGAATATTCTGACTATCACACCATGGAGTGATCTTCCTAAAACACATCTCTTCTCCTACCGACAATAACTAACTGCTACCTGTGGAGTAAAGTCCCAACTTCCTGTTTGGGCATATTGCTCTCCATCCTCTGTCCCATGTCCAGTAGTGCCTACATTCAAGAAACCAGTGGCATTTGCTGAGTAGTTGTGTGACTGCGTCTGTGTCTACTAATTCTGCTCTTCAGCCTTGATCATTCCCAAGTCACCACCTCTACAACAGCTGCCAGGGCCCACCCTCCGAGGTGGAAATGCAAACTCCCTCTGGGTGCTTGTTGTCCCTACACTCACGTCTCTCCTGTCACCTCTCCCTCTTTATTGCACCTTGCTGGTGACCAGCGGAGCTCCCCGTGAACAGGGAACTTGTCTGCCCTGTCGCTGCCTCCCCAGCACCAGGCATGGTGAATTACAAATGTCAGCTCAATGAGTGGATGCACACACATTAGGCTGTGGAGCTCATGCCTGCTCCTGGGACTACTGCTTGCTCTCACACTAAGAATAGTTATCCAGCCAGCTGAGGATGTACACAGTCACTTCTCAGAATGAAAAAGGACACAAACCCATGTTTCACTTTCCTACACCCCTGGTGAATTAAACGAAGCCACAAGCACTCGGCTTGGAGGATTCTATCATTCCTCATGTTCTGTTCCCCGCCGTTTACGTCACTTCGTATTTTCTTCAGTGAACCTTTCTTGAGTTTTAGTAACACTATGCAAGTTGTCATTAGACCAAGAACAAATGGGGGATCATTTACTCCTTAGTTGACAATTAATGGACGTTAGCAAGCTGAGGGGCTTAACCCTTGGCTTTTCCACTAGGACCTAAGAATCCATAGAAATGATCTACAGTTCTTGGAAAGAAATGCAAAACTAAGTATTTATGGGTTCATGTATAGACTCTTGTAAATAACATCTCTTATTCCTCACCAGGACCAGGAGGTAGCTCTGAGAGAATGGGAAATGCTCCCATAAATCTTAAGTACATGACGAAACCAAGACTAGGCCTTCACCTGTGTTTTTTCTGCTCTGTAGTGAAATGAGGCTGCTGGTGATATTAAGAATTGTCCCTAGAGGGAGTGGCCACCTTGATGTATGTTTGGGCTGAGGAAGATACTAAGATGAACTTGAGTGGAGAATTATAGTAAAAGCAACCCCGGTGACACGGAGGAGGGAGTGATGGGTTTTAGGAACTGCTTGTGCATGCCTGGCTGAACTGAACCACTAAACCTCTTTCACCCATCATTACTTGTATCTTAGGATAGGGAACCAGCTATTTGAGCTGATGAACCCTTAAAGATCAAAGCTTCCATTTTTATGCAAATAGCCAAGAACAATAAAACCTAAGAAAGATTAATAGGCAATGTGAATTACAGTAGGATGTGTATCATTAAAAGTTACAGCAAGCCGGGCGGTTTTTTCAGAAGTAGGTTCCCAGCAAGGACAACTTTTCAAATTTGTGTTTTAAATTATTTTTAGATGAGAAGAGGTAATAGCAAAACGTAACCCTGAATTTCATTGGTTCTCTAATCCGTCACAATCTTCAGATGACATAAATATGTAATTTTGAATTAGACATTACTAGGAAATAATATCACACACTCCGACGTGCCAGGTAGCTCGTCACATGGCAGCAGGCACAGGCTTTGGTACTGAAAGCACTTGGAATCTGCCTTAAGTACCACTCTAACTAAACATGCCTTCTTTAGCTTTAGAAACCCATTTTGCAATCCAGGTCTCGATCGTGCTGCCGTATTAAACTGTGGGTCTGCATAAGAAACCACATGCCGATCCTTCCTGAATAACTGCTGCATGTTGCTTGAAGATAGAGTAGATCATGCCTTTGAGAATAGCAGCTTTGAATGCCTTGAGCACAGGCTTTGGAGTAAGAGAGCTGGATCACAGATCTCCTGCTTCCAGGCTGTGCGACCTCAGGCAACTTAGGGAACCTCTCTGAGTCCACATTGTCATTGCATACTGCTGTTAAGTGCCACAAGATGTAACCTTGTTAAAGAATTTAAATGTTGTATCTGTCTGGCATTTTAAAGAGTTTAAAGTTTCATTTTAGCTAAAAATAATAAATACTATATTTGTTATAATATTTATTACATGTGTTATGTAATATATAATTATATATATATATCATTTTAGCTAAAAATAAATATGATTTATCATAATATATTTTTTATTATATTATTATTTTTAGCTAAAATGAAGGAAATTGATGTGCTATAAAGGAAGACTTGTTCTACTCTTATTATAACTGCACTTACACAATTTTTAAAAACTAGTGCTGAATCCCTAGTGGAAAGATCACTGGACTGAGTCTCACATGATGGGCTTTAGTCCTGACTCTGCACTCACCAATTTCTTCCTACCTATTCAATATCATGAGTATTCTGGTAAGTTGTTTCCATACATTATCTTATTTACTTTTACAAGGTCAGGGGTAGCATTAACCCAATTACTTGTCCTTTCTAGGTTCTTCTTCTGCAGGATAAGGGGGTGGAATGTCCTCTCGGGTCACTTCAGCAACAGTATTTTAAAGGAATGCCTCCCACAAATTGTTTTCTAATTTTACTTTGAAGAATTCCAGGGATGACAGTCCTAGAGTGTTCGTGACACTGGTAGACACCTCCCCCTCCCCTTTGGTGGCCCCAGTCCTCATTCTGCCTCCACCCCTGTGACTTCCTCTCCTGCCTCCTCCAGGGATGGACAACCCACACTCAGCCCCACTCTCTCCTTGCCAGCCTGTCTCCGATAGAGCCTGGCTTTCCCCTTCAGGTGTTGGTTAGCCTTTCTCTGTACCTTTAATTATTTTTCATTTCAATTATTTTGGCCGTGTGTCTAGGAATCACTATTAGATAGAGAGAACCATATCAAAGACATTGCTCTGTATGGATCTGTCCTCTGTCAAGTCCAAGACACGGATTCATTGTCATCTCTCATATTTTTTGGACATGCGTTTGATGAGGTTTCTTAATTTTGACAGAGTTAATGCTTCCGAGAAACTTCATAAAGATTCTACAGCCATTTTAGTAATGGGGGGACTACAGTAGAAATATATCTGCGAGTAATGAAATCCATCCCCTGGAAGCTGTCACCACAGATTCAATAATCATGCTCCCCACGCGGCATCCTTTCAGGACCTCAAGATGTCTTGTCAAGTGTATTTAATATCCAGGATATTTAATTTACCACAGAGCTAACTCAAATATATTTGTATTCATTTTCACGCAGAGTTTTGCAAGTCACCAAGACTTAAAATAATGGAGGTTTTGACCTCTAGGTGAATAATTACTTTTTTTCTTTTCAGGTACTGTACTCACTAAAATACATTGATGAATTAATAAATGGCATATCTTCTATACTAGATTTCAACAAAATAACTTTTATAAGAGCTAGAATTGCTGCGTGGAGAATATTGACATCATGATAGGAAAGTCGGGCATTTTAGTAATTAAGTTAAACAGTTATTCTGCCCCCACAACTCAGTTTTCCTTCCAATTTTCCAACCCCAATTCAGAATCACTGAACCTGAAACTTGCTAAGAAGAATAATACGTAGTCAGCTGAATTTCCCTCATTTAATATGCTTAAGGGAACAAAACCCTCTCTTCTTGGAGGAATTCCCATCATGCTCTCTATATTTTCCTTTCCCCTTCAGCTACCATATTAAGTATTTACTATCTTGGCCATTCTGCTAGGCTCCTTGTAAATATCATGTTATTTGCTCACAAGCACTTTATATGAATGTGAGGCACCTGGAGTCCAGAGCTCCTGCATGCCCAAGGTGACAGGAAGTGGCAAGGCCATGATTTATCCTGTCTGTTAGAAGTCCATGCTCTCAGCTGGGTTCGGTGGCTCATGCCTGTAATCCCAGCACTTTGGGAGGCCAAGGCGGGTGGATCACAAGGTCAGGAGTTCGAGACCAGCCTGGCCAATATAGTGAAACCCTGTCTCTACTAAAAATACAAAAATTGGCCGGACATGATGGCAGGTAACTGTAGTCCCAGCTACTTGAGAGTCGGAGGTTGCAGTGAGCCAAGATCAAGCCACTGCGCTCCAGCCTGGGCAACAGAGCAAGACTCTTGTCATAAAAAAAAAAGAAAGAAATTCATGCTCTCATCTGTTCCATTAGAAAATGTGCTGCTCTCAACATCCATCTTTGGGGCCATGTGATCAACAACACATACACTTGGCTCTCTGTTACCTTTTGCATTTCAGTACAATCCATAGCCTAGAGTTCAAGGCCCTCCAGGATTTCAGTCTTATGTGCCATCCCCACTTTATTTGTCATTACTCCAGAGGCTGAATCTTCATCAGGAAGCCTAACATTTTTATCCCCACTGAGACGTGCCTGCTGTATTTGCATTCTTGATAAAAAGCCTTATTTAGGATTATTCATTTTCACATCTTCAAGAAGTGGGTGACTGTTTTTTGGTGTGGGTTTGGGTTTACTATGTAATGTGATGCCTTGCAGAACATGCCATATCTGGGCATTTTGATGTGATCATTTGTTCAAAGACTGGATGCATTCCTTTGGACGGTTCTGCACATACATGTAACCGATTCCTTCTTGATGGACATGAGGTTATTTTGAGGATCTTGCTATTAAGCACAATATTATAACTTGTATTTTGTGCTTGTGCATATATTTTGTGCACTCTTGTGTATATATCTGAACAGTAGAGTCTTAAGAATAGAATGTGCATGTTTCATTGAGAAAGAGATCAACTCTTAGCCCCTCCAATCCTCCAGAAGTTGAAACGATGGTCAAGGTCCTCATTTTCTTAATTTGGTGTTTTGTCTTTGGGTGTCCTCTGACATCAGGGTTCAAGTGAGTTCATTCCATGGCTCCGTCGTGCTACCCAATAGCGTTACTAGGAGCTGCGTGGACCTCTCAAAATCCAGGGGCTACTTCCTGAAAATTTAGAAAGGAATTGAAATTGTGGGCACGTGTTTGTTGTACCATAAAAGTATCTCCTCAAATGGATTTGCATGAAATTTTAAGTAAGTCTAGAACTTTTGAGTGGAAGAGACTGGTTACATACCTGCCAGAGAACAGGTACTGAAGGGTCAAATACAACTCACTAGAAGACACACAGAACTGCATGGGCAGAAAACACCTGTCCCACAGCCTTGGATATGGGGCTTGCTAGAGTCTCCACAGCCTGGACTCTGCTGGAGGAAAAACTGAAAGTAACCCGTCAGCTGCCAGGGCCCAGCCCCAGCCTGGAGAGCCAGGACAGCCAGGTCTTGGCAGGTACTGACCTACAAAGAGGACCACCCTGCTGGGTGGAGTGTGGTCAGGGAGAGGCAGCTGCAGGTGATGTTGGAAATCGATGCTCATGATCAACGTGGCTAGTCAAGCTCTGGTAGGACCATAGTTCTCGATCCTGGCTGCATGTTGAGATCACATGGGAAGGTTTAAAAGTTTTGATGCCAATTCCTAGTCCCACTTGTTGTGCAATAACCCAAATCCCCTCAAATGCTTCCAAATAATCTAAGTCACATGTGCTTGACACAGGCTTTTCAGCTTTCATTTGGTTTCTGCCAATTTCTTCCTCTCCTGCTCTATCTGATTCCACAAGAGAACAGCCTCCGGATTGGCAAGAGCAGACGACCAGAGTGGTAAATCCTTGCCCAAGAAAGACCCCAGTTCACACTGTCAGAGGGTAGTTTTCTCCACGTTTCTGGTCCCGTAAGGATTCAAGGGTAACATCTGGAGCTTAGGTGGGCATTTTCGAAAGCTTCCCAGGTGGCACATGCAGCCAAGGCTGAGAACTACTGCAGTAGGACTGCAGCCAGGGTGAGGCCCACTGGGTCCAGTGCCCCCAGCTGGCAAGAGCTGCCCAGGCGTAAAGGCCCCAGCAAAGTAGGGCACGGTGATCTTTAACTCTG